TGGGGGAAAATAAAACAAAATGAGATTTCTTCCAACAACCAGTTCTCCGAACTGCTTAGAAAGCTAAGAACCGGTTCTCCCGAATAGGTGGGAACTGGCTGAATCCCACCACTGGCGCAGAGGTACAATAAGAACAAAGCTTGTTAGATGGCATCATAATGCATGTCTCATTAGTCTGATAGCTTGCTACGGTCTGGAACGATTTGAACAGACTAGATCAGTGTTTCTCAACCTTGCCAAGTTTAAGACAGGTGGACTACAACTCCCAGAATTCTCCAGCCAGCAAGAGGGGGAATTCTGGGAGTTGAAATCTACCCATCTTAAGGTCGCCAAGATTGAAAAACACTGGATCAGATTTATTTTTTATTTGAATTGGATTGTTCCATTTGCTACAGCAGCGGTCACCAACTGGTGGTCCATGGACCACTGGTAGTCCACAAGAAAATGTTGGTGGTCTGCAGAAAAATCTTTGCATTTTTTATATTGCACTAAATCAGGGATCCTCAAACTATAGCCCCTGGGCTGGATATGGGCTGGATATGGCTCACTGAGGCAATTACTCCCACTCGCTGATGGGATGGCTGCCTGTTTAGTAGCTCCAGCCCTTCCTTCCTGGCGAGTCCAGGGGCTTCAGTGAGCAGCACGCGGAACTTTGGCCAGGTTCCTCGAACGATAAGAGTTTGTAGGTGGCCAATTTAGTGCCTGGGCTGGCTACAAGACAAACATTCATTCTTGGCCATATTTGAGATTCCTAGCTGTAACGGACAGCAAAGCTCGGGTTGACCCCGGGCGCTTCTCTCCGCTAACAGGGGGCCAAGCTAAGTGCCTGAAGGACCCCATCCCGTCACTAATTCATATTAGTGGTCCACGGGATTTAAAATTATGAATTTAGTGGTCCCTGAGGTCCGAAAAGTTGGTGACCCCTGGGCTAGAGCATTGGTCCCCAACCTTTATGGCTTGGCAGACTGGCAGGGGGGAGAGGAAGGATGGTTCTGTTTGAACAGCAGGCATGCACCGCTTGTGCAATCTAGTTCCGAACAGGCCTCGGCCCGAGGGTTGGGGACCAATGCAAACATTTTCTTTATTAAAAAGGTCATACTTACCAAAAGCTTCCATGACAGGATTGGAATCCAACACTCGTTGTTCTATCCTCTCCACAGTTATACTGCCTTCCGGGATGTCGGATGAAGCTGCAACTGTCGCATAAAACTTCATCAGGCAGCGGGAGGTCCATGTCTAGAAACAGATTTTGGATCAAACTTCATCTTTGATCCGGAATCTCTCTTTAATCCTGATTCAGTAACTACAGTTACGCAGAGGCAAGAACAAACTGATTCCATCCAAGTCGAAATTGGAAGGGGATAAAGCCTTAACTTCTAACATGGAAAAGTGGGTTAGATGACAACCTTCTGAAGCCAGGTCAACAAAACTGCTAGTTCACTCACATGTGTAGGTAAATTCAACCAGAAACGAGCATGCAACGTTTCCCCAAAACAGCTTTTAAGAGATCTCAGCTTACCTTACCAGCACCACTTTCCCCGCTAACAATGATGGACTGATTGACTAATGGAATCTGGCTCTGGACATTACGGTAACTTTCTTCTGCTACCGTGAAAATGTGAGGTTTTAATTCCTAAAAAAGAAAAAGTACATAGAGCATTTGGAAAGAAAAATGGAAAACGGACAATTCAATGGCAGGCTGAAACTTTTTCAGCAAAAGGGACTCGTTTTTTGATGAATGCATTATTTGGAGCCTGACATCCAGTGATGGGTTCCTACCAGTTCGGACCGGTTCAGTCAAACTGGGAGTGGTTTGGCAGCCTGGGTCCCTGGAACCGGCAGCGACTCAGGCCTGCCATGCCCCCGAACTGGTTCCCCAGGCAGCAGCACGATCTTGTTTTTCCGTTCTGCCCAGAACAATTGTAATTGCATTTATGGGCAAATGCGCATGTGTGCAGAATGAACCAGCAAAATTGTGCACGCGCTGAACTGGCAGTAATGCCAGCAGCAACCCACCCCTGCTGATATTGTACCATCCTGGGTGGAGGGTGGAAGTAGTGCCACAATTGCCATCTTGCCTGTTTTGATACACACATAAACTCATGGACACAACTGGACATGAACACTGTGGACTGGACCAGAACTGAAAAATTAACCAAAGCCAGGGTAAGCCGAGTGTTAATGTGCACAAGCATACCTTGGTTCTTGCCAATGCCCTGTCT